TAGTGAAGAAGCCATTCTATATTTTTTTCTTCATCTTTTAGTTCTTGCCGAAGCTTGATTCATCTTTGTTGATCAACCATATCTCCTTATGTTATAAAATCATTTTCCGTAATATGCTTCTACTGGAGACATCAAAAGGGAAACGGAAGGACTGATTCTCCTTCTCATAGTGTACCACATTTTTATTAAACCATTTCTAAGTGCATGGCTATTATTTGGTGTCAAAGCTTTTTTAATAGAGTCTTTAACCCATTAGTAATTATGTATTCCTTATTCAAGATCTGCTACTTCCAATTTCACTAGTCTTTCATTAAAATTAGGAATTCAATCTGCAATCCAAACCAAGCCAGCCACATAATAATATAACTTAATCTCTGGTATTGTGAGACCTCTCTTTTTCTCATCCTGTAAGACTTTGAATCCAATCCTTGGTTTTTTACCATTCCAAATAAAGATATTCAACTGCCTTTGTCACTCTTGAAGAGTTTTCCCTGTATAAAAATTGGTATTATCTGGAATAGGTGGTTCATCTTAGGCAGAACATCCATTTTTATAATGAAAATTCTTCCCAATCAGGACACTTTTAATTTAGACCATTTCTTTAAGTCCTTTTGAATCTTCACCCAAGTTGTTTTATAATTATCTTGAAATAAAGTCCCCATCATGTTTATTACTAAATACTTAACTGGATTGAAAGTTATTTTGCCTCCTGATTTTTTATCTTTCTTTCTTCTTGCTGTGTTAGCAACTTTAATATAATGTTCATTTTCTTCTTATTAATTTTGTAACTGGAGTAAAATCTTTTTTTTTCAATTTGGTCTTCCAATTCATAAATCTTGAACCACAGTCTAAATATTGAAGAGTTTTCAGTAAAAAGGGCCAAGGTACATTATCGAAGGCCTTTTCTGCAACTAGAAAGATAAACACCGTTTCCTTTTTCATGACAAATTCAATAGCATTAATCAGAAAGCAAACATCTTTCATAAACCTCTTTGTGACAAAGCCAGTTTGTTCTGTATGAATTCATTTTTCTATGTATTTTCTTAATCTTTCAGTCATTATTAAACAGTGCACAGTTCTTACGTTGTCTGACTGGGGAAATGTGTGGATTTGTCAGTATTTACAGTGCAAAACAAGATGGGGACTCTGCATCTTTTTTCTGCTGAGAAAGCAGCAACCTGGGAGGGTGACTGGAGGGAAACAATTCTTTTTGTTGTGGAAGGAAAAAGATTAAGCAGCACCTCTTGCCTTTCCCTTCCTGTTGGTACGCTTCTGAGTATACTTTCTATGGCTACTTTTTAAAAAGAGTTGAATGAAAGGGCTCAGGGACTCCGTGTGACTCCTGGTTTGCCTCTTTGTTGTTCTCACTAGATCTGAGGATAAGTAATATGTGAATTAATTTGAATAAGCAGTGGCCACATATAGGACTGCTTATTGCACATACCCTGTTTTTATCCTTTAAATTTAAGCTGAATAATAGGCAGTTAGCTTGTAAAATCTGAAAGTTGCTTAAGAAAAAATGAAGGGAATGGTTTCATCTTTCAGTTGAAATTACCAATGTGGCTAATAGTTTAGTGGTTATTAATGTTTTGGGTGTTGTTGATTAAAATAGGTTCTTGCAGTTGTTTGGATGATTCCTGGCTATATGTAAGTGTGAGGTAACCCAACTCTGGCTGCCAGTATAGGGGGTTTTTTTTAAAGAGGACTTTATGTTGAATCCTAATAATTCACTCACAATGGAAGCTCACTAGGGTCTTGGGCTGCTTCTTATCTTGAACTACAATTAACTACACACATGATCAAACTTTAATTTCATACATAGAACACATTTCCATGTAAAAATTATCAGGATGTGTGGATTGTACTATGTGACAAGCTATCTATGTTGTTTTCTTAACATGTGGACATGCCAGAAAGCTATAATGGCCGAGATGAACAGTGGGAATTCTTCATGGCAAAGATCTTCATTCTGATGCTCCTACTTAGTTATTTTTCCTTCCCTCTCTATATTCCCCATCACCCTTCCTTCCTTCCTTCTTCTGGTAGGTGCATTTGTCCCTCAGAAAACCAAAATTACATCCTACAGTTCTTGTTGTGCTCTTCCTCTCTTACTATTCTTCCTCATTGCAACTCTTAACATGCATCTGGCCATTCCATTTGGTGTGTTTAAGTGTCTGTTTCAAAGCTCGCCTTCAATCTAGTTCAGGTATTATTTTATTTATTTTTTAATTTATTTTTTGATTTATATCCTGCCTTTTTCCTACAAAGGGCTCAAGGCAGCTTACATCTCCTCCTCCATCTTATCCCCACAACAACAACCCTGTGAGGTAGGTTGGGCTGAGGGTCTGTGACAGGCCCAAAGTCACCCAGTTGGCTCCATGGCTGAGCAGGGACTAGAACTCAGATTGTCTGAGTCCCAGTCCCATGCTCTTAACCACTACACCACACTGGCTCTCTTATTTAACCCACAAATTGGCAGAAGAAGGAGACAAAGCACACAAGGGATCAGTAGGGAAGAAAGGGATCAGTAGAGAAATGGGAGGGCAGGGTGGAAAGGTCACCTTTTAGCAGTGTTAATGGAATAACCCTGCTTCCCCTTCCCTCCTTCTCTACATGAGGCTGGTGGCAACATTTGGAGAAGAAGAAACCTTTATCAGCAAGGCTGATGGAGAAGTCCTGCTTCCCTCCCCATCTCATGCCATGATTTTGATCTATATGCAATGGATTGCTTTTTTCAGAATTACTGCTTCAAAATAACTTCCCATAATTTGGCAATGTGTGAAGAAATTTTCTCACAGGATTGTTTTGAGGCTATACTTCCACACCTCTTTAAAGAAATAGCACCAATATCTACTATAGTTCAACTGGGTTCTTGAGCTGGAACCTTATGCCACAATGAAGAGGTTTTGTCTTTAAATTACCACAATATGATTTTACTAACATTTTCAACAAGAGACTACCATGTCTACCATTTTCCCAACATTTTTAAACAGTTTTGTTGTATATGTTGTAAAAAGCTGCTGCATTGTGAAATTTGGGTTACATTCTGGTTGATTTTGTCTGAGCTTCAAGCATCTCAGAAATAGCAATGAGTGAAACTTCATGACTCCATTCAGGGATTTGGAATTATGAAACAGAAGACAGCAAAGAAACGTACCCCTCTCCATTCCTCACTAACAAGGTCTGTTGTCCCCATTCCTCACCAGCAATGTCACCAGAAGCAGGTCACTTCATTTCGCTACATGAGGACTAGAGTAATGATGTGTCATGTGTGTGTTTCAGCTGCAGTAGAAAAGCCTGTATTGGTCTTGTCTGAGCTGTTAATGGCGCTTAATAACGCTCTAGGGGTTTTAATGTCACATTTCATAATATCAGTGCAATATTAAGTAAAACATTTAGAATCTTCAGGCTGCAGTCCCTCTCTGTGTCCTTACTTTTGACCAAGGACATTGATCTCAGTGTGACTAATTTCCAGACAAACCACCACTCCCTACAAGAGACTGCTGAGATGGATCAGTGTTCTGTCATCACTCTTTTATGGAAGGTTATAGCAAAAGGGGAAGCTGGAAGATGTGTCTTAAATCCATGATTGTCCAACTTTTTATCTTTAACGCACTCCAGATCAATTTCTCAGCTGTGTATTTGCCACTGATTTCTAGTGCATTGCTGTGACTATCTGAGATGTATAAGAGGGCATGCAGTTCAAGGCACAAAAGAGGGATAAAGCAACACCATCAATTCATGTGAATTTATTTATTTCACTGATTTGGAAGTGAGGAGCAAGACAAGTTCAATACCATATCTGTCTGTCTGTCTGTCTGTCTATCTCTCTATCTCACTGCTCTGCCATGAAACAATACCAAAACAGGTTATACCCCAGGCAAAGTCTATGTAGAGGTGAATGTCAAGGAAATGTCTTAAAGTTAGACATCTTTAAGTTTTAACTTCAACAGATGTCTAGAACTCAAAATTATAGAATCACTAATGGCAATGGGGATGCATTCCAGAAAGTAGGTACTGCAACAGTAAACTCCGTTACACATGTTAATAAGAAAAATCTCAGGGCTATGTGGCAGCCACAATCATCAAAGTACTGCTTTTGAGGGTCACAAAAGTTGGGCAGGGACATAAGGAATGATGCAGTTCCTAAGATAATTGGCCCCAAGTGTTTATGGTTTTATATCTAAATAACTAAGCCCTAAATTTGACACTAGAGCTGATTGGCAGCCAGTGCAGAACTTTTGCTTTGCTTTGCTTTGCTTTGCTTTGCTTTGCTTTGCTTTGCTTTGCACAAAGGTGTTGCATGCTGCTGAGAGGAAACTCCTGTTAGCAGCCTTGCAGTTGCATTTTGCACCAACTGCAAGTCCTGGACCAAGCTCAAGGGTAGCCCCGCATTGAACACATTCTGACAATTCAGTCTGGAAGTCTAAAGCACTGTGTCCAAGCAATAAGTAGTGGTGGTAAGCCATCAACATTTCCTGCCACCATTCCTGCCACCGATAATCACTGCTGACAGTCTGAAATCCGTGCCCTGGGACATTTGCTTGCATTGATTTTAATTATAATATGTAATTATTTATTGGATTTATAGCCTCTCTTTAGCTGAAATGATCGTCAGTGCTTCTTGCAACAGATTATACGCACACATGCATACACAGACCTCACCCCATGCTGTAATGTCAACACTGCCTGCTGTCATTTTTGTCAAAGGTTGGAGACAGACTATTTTTTAAAGAATTCAAAATAGTCTCTCTGTCTTTAGGGAGGTGTACATGCACTTTTCTTTCAGCCCACAATTGCCTCTGTTCACAGATTTTATAAGTTTCTGCAACAGTGCAGAATCTGTTTCCTAGATGACAGTATAGTGGCATTACAAACAGCAATTTTTCTTTGAAATCATGTACATCTCTCAAAAGAAACCATCTCCTGGCTCAAGGCTTAGAAGCCCTTCTTTTCTTTCTACCTGCACCGATTTGACTCTCTTGTGCTTATCTTCTCAGGTTTGGTTTCAGAACAGACGAGCAAAATGGAGGAAACGAGAACGATTTGGTCAAATGCAACAGGTTCGCACTCACTTTTCTACAGCTTATGAGTTGCCCTTGCTAACTCGAGCAGAGAACTACGCCCAGGTGAGTGTGTATCACTGGCATACCTGTCGCTTCAACATCTACCTTAAATCAATTGTGATACAAGCCAATTGGGTGAAAATAATTCAAGATACAGAGATCAGATGACTCTATTAAAAAAAGGTTGTTGATTTCAGCCCTGAACTTCAAAAATAGGAAGAAGCAAGTGCATAGTATGTCATAGCAAATTGCTTAGGGCACAATTCTATGCATGTTTAGACAGAAAAAAAGTGTACAACCACCAGCATGCCCATGATTGTGTCCTTACTCTTAGAAAACCTGGAGAAGTCTGGAAGTTAAAAGTTATTTGGTGAAATTGCAACCTTTCTGCAATCCTATGTGCATTACTTGTGAGTAAGCACACTGAATTTGGTGACCGATCATTCAGCACAAATATGCGCATGATCAGACTGTGGGCATACTTACCAGTATCTACATTTCAGAGAAATAAAGACTTTATGAAGTGACTGAAAAGGCACGATAATGTGGGTGTCTAACACTCCCATCCTTTCTGCAACTGCCCATAATACGTACTAACTGGTGATGAGCCAGGGAGCTGTGAGACTTCCTTAGAAACATTTCAGTATTGGCTCTTCTTAATGGGATCAGTGACGGTAGAGGAATTCCCTGAATGTCCCCTTTTCTACCACGGCCAGTCCCTAGGTGGCTTCTTGGCTGCACTCTCAGTCTGCATGAGACAACCGTTGGCCCAACAGGTCTGGCCATTGTCTGTGTATGCGAGACATGCAGCAGGTACCCGATGTGATGGTATAGCTAACTTGGTTACAGCCAGATGGGGATCGCTTGATTTCCATCATGGCCCCCTGGTAAATATAAGACACACACCAGTCTTCCACTTCTCCCAGCAGACCGTGACTTATGTATTAATCACCTCGTGTTATGAGTTGGTCAGCCTTCTACAGACTGCACCCTTTTTCTGCTACAGTCCGATTGGGTTTGCAGTGTTTGGCTTCAGGGTTGTTTGAGGCAGTCACTGACACATAGAGGACTCTGACTTTAACTCAGGAGGATGGAGTGGTTAATATTTTGTGCAGTGTAGTTTTCTCCAAACTTTTCATTCCTGAATTTTAAAGCTTCTACTCCTGTGGCCTTCAGTGTGAGTGGAATGCACAGTAAACAACAGGATACAAGTAAATTGTCTTGCAAATGAAAAGGCACCCCCTTTTCCCTGTGTTGAAAATACCCCTCTCTGTTTCACTGGATAATCATGAAGTCAACTATTAGTTTGAGGGATGTGGGGAAAATGGGATATACGTATTTTCTTCCAAGTTCCATGATCCCCAAGAAGCAAAGCAACACTGGCCAGGAATCTTGGAAGTTGTAGACAAAGATGTCTGGAGAATGCTACATTGGGGAACGGAAGTGGATCTTGGATCCCAATATCATTTCTACCATTAGGGCAATCCAGATAGATTAGATATGTAATTAGCATCAGAGATGTGGTGGAGCCAAGACTCACAGAATTGCAGCACCTTCATATTAGCAGAGATGCTGCTAGCACAGCCCCACCCCAGAATCCCCTGTTCTGAGCTCCACTACAATCCTCACAGTAGGATTAATTTTTCCAGCAATTAAAGATAGTCCTCTCTGTTGTAATGCAAAGGAGGTGAGGTTAGTAAAGTAACCTGCCATTAAAGAGGTACAGATTTAATTAAATCTGCCCTTCCTGTTTTTCACAGGTTGCCAGGCATCTTTATTTCATTGTCTGCTCACCAGTAGCATCAGATTTTAAAGGATGCATGAGAATTTTGTTTCATGTGCACAAATGTACATTCACATTCGCATTAAATCTGGTTAGTGCAAGTGCAAATCTTGAAGTCAAGATGGCTCAGAAAAATCCAGTCTCCTGCAGAATCCAAAGGCCAAATTCATCAAAATCTGAGGCTATTTGAATGGTCTCAGCTTTCTCTGACATCCCTACCTAGAGTTGAATGGGCTTTATAAAAGACCCATTCCTGGTTGAGGTAAAACTTCTGGAACTGCTTTGCTGATATAAATCAACACAGCTTCCAACATGTTTGGAGCCTCCTTCAAAGAAAGAGTCTCAGAAAAAACCTCCCACTCCCATTCATGCTATTATTATTTTTTAAAGCCACAGACATGGTGGCTGATGGCCGGCAGTTCCCTTTTGCTAAACTAATATTCCCCTAACTCATAATGTATCAGCTTCCCCTGCACAAGAGATGCTTCTATCCCTTGAGCGTTTCCGTTGCCTTTTTCTGTACTTTCTCCAGCCATTTTGAGATGAGGGCAGCCTGAGCAGTAGACGATAATCTAAAATGTGGCAGACCGTCAGCCTAAATGTTGGCCTGTTCTTGCCATCCTACTGGCCCATGCTTTCATCACTTCTTGAGTGTTGCTGAGTTGCTTTTCGCCCCCCACCTGACACGAATCTGTAGCCAGCCAGAGGTAAAAGGTCAGAAGTGGAGCTACAGCAAATGGAGCTGGCAGGCTGTGGAATGCAGGCCTTTCGGAGACATGCATTTTCCTACTCTCCATCTGGATCCTCTCCTGTTGCATTCTTTCATCTTACGCTCTCCCCCTCATCACACCTCCCCTCCACCCCCATAGGGCCTCCTGCTGCCGCCGCCGGTAAAGGGCCATTCTTCACTCTTCTCTTTGGTAGGATCATTGTGGCTTTAACATCTTTGACTATCTGTTTGTTGAGTGGGACTTGCAAAACCCTTTGATATTGTCAGAACTTTGCCTTTCTCTTTCTTACCCTGAGCAAAATGGGAAAGAAGCAGGGGTTCAGGGGAACAGACCTTAGCACTAAGGTATGTATTTAATTACAGAATGCCCCAGACACAACCCCAACCAATTAAAAAGATCCTGAACAGAAGAACTAGGGAACACCTCTGCTTAAGAATGAAATCAGTTTGCCTGGCTTAGGACTGTCTGCCATAGCAAGCAGAATTACTATCAGGCCAGGCAGACAGCCCTGGACTAGAGAGACAGCTGGCCTGGTTCATGAGAAATTTGACCTTTCTTTGGATTTCCACCTTTTCTTTACTGTCAAAGGCTCTGTGCCTTTAATGGCTGAATGAGACATTCAGCAGGTTCAGCTTTATTGCAATCTCTGCATTGAAAGGAACTACACAGATCGAATTGTTACCTATCCATGCAATGCATGTTTTTGAGGTACTGAATCTGTCAGAAGGAAATAGTGGCAGACCCATTCCTTGTAATATCAGTTAACTTAAACTGCTGCCAATCAAACCAAAAAGGTCAACAGTGTTCCAGAATAGAGCTGTCTATTCTTTTGCCGTTTGCTAACTGCAAATCTGCTCCAGTGGATGAAATATAGGAAATGGGATTTTGGTACATGGCAGCCAGTTTTTGATCCATATGGAGCCTCTCGTGCCTTTTTCCCAGGAACTGCCATCTTTTTGGTGGCAAGATCTATTACCCTTGACGCCTTGATTATGCAGTGGCACGGACATGATTATGCTCACATTTATGGCTGTTGTCAGAGCAGACTGAGTTCATAGTTTCTTAGTATTACTAGTATAGCAATACTGGACCCCAGGCTCATCCCATGTAGCTGATTGGTGGGAGCTTCAGGACTGATAAAAGGAAGTACTTCTTCACCCAACATTATTTATTTTATTTATTTATTTAGGGAACTTCTATGCCGCCCCATTCGCCGAAACCTCGATGCGGCTCACAAACATACATAAATAACATCCTATAAAACAATATAATTTAACAGTATAAATTAAGTCGCCCTGGCCAAAGAATAAAATGAATAAATAATATTAACAATTAAAATAACATTTGAATAAAAAGGTCTTCACCTGGCGCCGAAAAACAAATAACGACAGTGCCAGGCAGACCTCTCTGGGGAGCGCATTCCATAGATTGGGCACCACCGCAGAGAAAGCCCTCCTCCGAGTACTTACCCTCCTAATTTCCTTCACGGAGGGTTCCCGGAGAAGGACCTCTCCCGCTGATCTCAAGGGGTGGGCGGGCATGTATGGACGTAGGCGCCCCTTCAGGTAACCAGGACCCAAGCCGTTAAGGGCTTTATAGGTCATCACCAACACCTTGAATTGGGCCCGGACTTCAATGGGAAGCCAGTGAAGCTGACGGAGAACTGGAGTCATGTGAACATAACGCCCAGTCCCCGTCAGCAGCCTGGCAGCTCTATTTTGAACCAATTGAAGTATCCAGACCGTCTTCAAGGACAGCCCCACGTAGAGCGCGCGACAGAAGACGTAGAGCGCGTTACAGAAGTCAGGACTATATTCTCCCTCCAATAAGTATGCTTCTGTCGTGCTAGGTGCTGGGGACCGTGGGCAGGATTACTGTCCCTCAGAGCCTGCTTGTGAGCTCCCCACTGGGTTATCTGCTTAGCCAGCCACTGTGTGAACAGAATGCTTAACTAGATGCACCCTTGGCCCTTATATGTTTATGGAGTTTCACTCCGTCTCTCAGTACAATTTACAGCTCTTGTCTCTAGGTTTACAAGTTAAAAGGAACAAGACAAAAGGAAAACAGAAAGGAGAGAGAAGGGGGGGGGGAAGGCAAATTCAGGCACTGGTTCTTAAAGTTGCACTTCGTATGATGGAAACAGTTGAGGCAGCTTGACTATTGATAAGAACCACTTCAGGGGAAACGAAAAGCAGCCGGTCTCTTAGAATTAGTGATTATTTAATGTCAGCCAAACGTGACATCTGGTTATGCCCAGTCCCTGTTATTCTGAAACACTGCAACCCCAGTGGACGCATAAACGGTTGTCCCTTGGCTCAAAAGCGGCTGCAGCAGAGCCTTCTTTCCAAACTCTGACTGGCAAGCACTTGATTTCCTTCTCCCAGTGAGCATGCAATATGAGCGTTTGGAGCATTTTCCCACATTGCATGTGTAGCGCTAGGGCTGATGAGCCTCTTGTGCACTCTAATGCTGAACTTTTGTGAGAATCCCTAATACAGGACATGAAGTCTAGCAGAAACAATTGTAAATCAAATGGGCAGTCTAGCCATGGAAGGTGATACACTTTACATTATGGGTGTAACAGGTACAAAGCAACAGCCGCCTAGTCTCAGTGGCAAAACATTCTGAGTTATAGTATTACTGTGGCTGTTATTGCTCATGCTGTCTGCAGAAGCAGGATTAGATCACAAGGAAAGGGAAGGATTAGACTGTTAGGCACATTTTAAGATTGTTATGGAAATGATGACAAGGTGGTGAAAAGCTGGAAAAGGGGAAAAGGGAACACTAACTACAAAATCAGTAAGCTGAGTGGGGCAGGAGACACACCAACCCTTCATGCACATGGTAGGGATGTCATGAGTGGAGCCGGCTGGAGCCGGAAGTCAGACTAAATGGTCCAGGAGGCCCCTCCTGACTCTGTTTCTGTTTCTATGTCTATGTCCATATTATTCTGAAAAGGAGTTAGCTTGACTCAGCAATGTAATACTTGGACAAGGTCACCTTCTCTGTATCTCTCTCCTGGAGCCCTCTGCTTATAAAATGAGAAGCGTGGCGTAAGCCAACATGAGCTAACTGGTATCTTTCCCTTCCTCCAACCCCCCACCCCAATCTCAGATCCAGAATCCATCCTGGATTGGCAACAACGGTGCCGCCTCCCCTGTGCCTGCCTGCGTAGTGCCCTGTGACTCAGTGCCTTCCTGCATGTCTCCCCACGCTCATCCCCACACAACCGGAGGAGTCTCTGAATTCCTGAGTGTCTCAGGTCCTGGCAGCCACGTGGGGCAGACTCACATGGGCAGCCTCTTTGGTGGCGCAGGCATCAGCCCCGGCATCAATGGGTATGAGCTGAATGGTGAGCCCGACCGCAAGTCTTCAAGCATCGCAGCCCTGCGGATGAAAGCCAAGGAGCACAGTGCTGCCATATCATGGGCAACATGACAGGGCTACAGCCATTGCCCTCCAGACACTGACCGAACCAATGGGGACAGTCAAACCAATCCATCCACTCTCGGACTCGCGGCAGCCAGTGCCCTCCTCAGAGATCGGGATGCAGCACTTTTAGCTACTCTAGGTACCATAGCCTTGCGTATATTACCCTATTTGGAGTGTTTGAAGCCTGTTTGCGGGGTGGGGGGGTGTCCCTGAAATCAGGTACGGGGGAAGAAATGATAGGTGCTTCTACAGCACCAGACACATCCAGTTTCCTGTTCACATGGCATGTTTCCTCTTAAGGAGTCTCTCATTCTCCTGAGTGTCCTTTTTAAAATTATTCACAATGGACACCCTGGCTTCTTCTGCCACCAGAGGTACTTCCAGATGAGGCTTTTATCCTGAACTCATCCTGCCTCAAACACAGAATGTTAAGTGGATTCCAGTGGAAGCATTTGTGCAGCACTTTTCATGTTTTTCCACTGCTGCTGCTTTTTCTTTTTCATTCCCACAAACAAATCTGTTATGGAAGGAAAAGACAGACTGGCTCCACAATATCTTGTGATTGGCTACACTAGAAGCTGTCAGTCTGGAAGCACCCCGATTGCCCTTCCATGAAAGAAAGACAGAAAACAAAACAAATCCCACCACAATTCCTAGCTAATTGTCCCCTCATGAGTCACCCCTGATTCCATGCATTCTAGAGCTATGGACAAATTTTTGGTAACTAGCACCAGAAGGAGGAGGTTGCTGTCAGAGTGGTTGGCAAGTGCCACAACGGTATGAAATACGAGTTCGTGAAAAGAATTCACGTGCATGCTAATTCAGTACACAGGAAACCAGCAAAGCACACACTATAGCTACCACTGCTGCCGGGCCCGGCTCCGGAGGTTAAATTGGACAAACGATGCAGCAGCTACTTTTTCTTTCCTTTCCCTCTATCCTGCCACTGGCCCCCAAGGTAAGTAGTAAATGGAGATGCCACAGAGCAAGGAGGGGTTAACCACAAGGAGGCAGCATCCCTGGATTCAGCAGAGAGGACAAGGGCACGGGGGGGGGGGGGGTGTCTGTGTCACAGCTTGGCAACTCCCACACAGCAATCCCGTGCTGATCCTGTGCAGCGTGCTGGGGACCAGCAGGATGGCAAGCGTGCCAAGCAGCCGTTTTTGTCCAGTCGCCTGTATTAGCTCCTGCTTCCTTGCATTACCTCCCAGTCCCAGCAACACCAGCAAACGCTACATCACTATATTAGCTGTGGGAGAGCACTTAGTGCAACCTGCCAAGCTATGGGCTAGATTGAAAAACAAAACTGGGAGAGGTCTGTGCACCCCCCCCCCCATTGGTGACCTTCACTGCCTAGTTGCTGGGTATTGTGGTGCAACACATCCGGAGGCCACCAGGTTGGAGAAGACTCCTCTTCCGGCACTTGTGTTTACCCAGTTCTCAAGCAGGATGAGGGAGCCTCAGGCTGGTGGGCCCAATCCAGCCCTTCTGGGATGCTGATTGGCCCTCAGGCATCCCCAGCTGCTGAGACTTCCCCTTTTTGCCTGACTCTTGCATGTTTTCCCCATTCTGAAAGGCTGAAATGCCTCTCCTGAGCCTTGCTTTAAGGCAGGAAGAGCTTTAAGCTATGCTGGTTTTTCTGCCTCTGCGCCCCTTTGCATTAGCCTTGCTCATGACTGGAGCGAGATCCCCAAGAGCATCTCTGAGACCTGAAGGAAGTTTCTTACCCAGACTGCAAGGAGAGCCTCAGTGTGTGATTTCATGCACAGGTTTCTCCAAGGTGCTCCGAACAAGGGCCTTTTTAAACGAAGGAGCTATAACAAATTGCCGCTGGCTTCCTGGTGTCCCTTTACTGAACCACCCATTCCTCCCAAGTGCAAGGGGAATGCCAGAGTCCTGTCTTGATGAAATAAAGTGAGAAAGGTTATTTCCTTAGTTGGAAATTCTTTGCCTTCTGCCCAAAGCTTTCAGCAGACACAGACCCACCTCTTGTCACTCCCATTCATCAGGACGATGGCAACACCCCAGCTCCCCCTGTATCTTTCCTCGCTTAGAGAGGGATCAAAGGGGATTTGGGTCGAGTCAGCTAAGATTCTGTCCAATTCGACTACGAAGAAGGCAGACTATTAATAGTGTTTAGGTTTCTGTGGTTTCTTAAACACTGATCCACATCCATCAGAGGAAAGCAAGAAAGTGCTTTAAACTGTCTGTCTGGTTTTAAAGAGGTGTTTACTGGGTTGGTAGCTACTGGCTTCCCTTCATCCGGTGAGCAGCTGCTATGCAAGTTTTGTAATATGCAAAAATTTAATTTGGGCTTCAGAGCAAAAAGCAGACCGCCCTCAGCATGCCTGAGGCACAGGCAAGCACATCCCTGCCTTCTGGCTTGCATGTGGCATTAGAATCACGAACGTCCATGCACACACTCCAGCCTGAACCAGGAAGGATGCAGCTGGGAATTCCTATGAAGGAATGAGCTCACAGACAGCAGAGCTTCCTGGCTTCCATTACATGAAAGGAAAACCCAGTGGCGAACCTGAATGGGAAGCATCCTATTTCTGAAGAACAAGTGAAGGCACCCTTTAGGGAAAAGGGAAGTTCTGCCTTCCTCCCCAACCCCATTTTTCATACTGCAGATGAAGATTTCTCAGGAATACCTACATTTCTGACTATTAGTTCTGCACACTTAACTGACATGAACAATAAGTGTGCACAGAGAATAAAAGACCCCAATCCCTTTCCTTTATGGGGTGGGGAGATATATCGCTTCCCTTGCTCATCTCTCCAGTGATAATGCCACTGGCACTATTGGATAAAACCCCCGTTTTTACAGCCCCATATCACAACCCCAGTTTACAGTACTCCTTATTGCAATTGCTATGCAGGCTGCAGAGAAAAACGGGTTTTTTTTCCTAATGACAAAAATGAAGCCCCATTAAGCCCCACTGGGTCCAGCAGCATACTGAGGCCATCATTAGGACTGAGAAGCAATTCTAGCTGAGGGCTGGGAAAATGCACCTCCTCACCAATAAATGTGTTATTTTCAGAAAAGACATTAAAGTTTCCCGGCAACAAATGTGTTACAAGTTCACATTTTTTGGACTACATACAAAAATTGTTGGCGGAAAGTGCCATTGCTTAGACTCCCTCCTATCCTGACACTTTGAAATCAAGGTCTAACCATTACTTCTCAGGCTAACTCCACTAAATGGAGAGTGTTGAACTATGATGTCAAAATGAAAGGGTATCCTTGAGAGTTGTCGCTAAAACTCTCATGCAAGAAATAATGTGTGCGTTTGTGTGTGCAAAAGCTATATTATCCATGACTAACCACGTTTTTGTGTTCCTAAGTGTGCCTGCCTAGGAAATACATTTTGTGTGTGCTGACCGTGCAAGTATGTTTGTTGTATAAACAGCAACGTTTGCCATCTCTTGGGTGGAGGAGGAGTTTGCTCATGTCGGCCAGATAGTGGCACTGTGCATATATGTGTCCAGCGAGGTTTCAGACATGGGAAGAGAGGGACTGTGATTAGGAGTTTTCCATGCTGCTGTTTTCACTCTCAGTGCTACATCAGCTCCCTCTAAAGCTGCCATCCTGTCGCAGGCCGGATTTTAAGAAGTACATGGCTGTGTGGCTAAAACAGACAAATTCAACTGCCGTTGTAGAATAGCTGCAAGGCCAACCCTAGCTGTGTACAATGGCTACACAATGCACAGGCATATGCTGTAGTGTACAAGGGTTCTTGCATATGATATATGATTGCACAAAGAATGTGCAGAAATGTATTTGAAGTGTACTTTTTGGTCACCTCTAGTTTCCCTTGATGCCTGTTTGTTGCATGTTGAAGTCAACTCAAAAGCAGCTTTGCTTGTGATTGGTTCAATGCATACCAGGCTGTTTCCTGCTTTGTATGATATGACAAGCTGCCATGGAGTGATTTGTATTTTGCTAGGCACCCATAGCTGTCATTTTTAATGGCCTCCATGGGTCCCAAGTCAGCTTTGACTTGTCACACCGTATGAACTCAGGTGATAGTTTGTTTGTGGGTTAGACAGCACTCAGCCCTAAAAGAAGCCATGGGTTATTTGAAAGTTATCCGTCGCTGAAACCCCTGCAGCCCTGTTTCACACAGCAAGCATGAACCCACCAGCACCTGCCACAACCTGACAGCCGCCGCAGGTACATTAAGCCACAGCGGGATGTTGTGAATATCCCTGCTTTCACTGCGCCTCACTGGCAGACCCTGTGGGGTAAGCGAGGCAACGGCATGGAGAGGGCAGCAGATTTAATACAGGGCTGCCTTTGTGGTGCCTGCCTAGTACTGAACGTTACTTCTATCCTAATAGGAACCACCAGGATTTCATTGGATTGAATCCTTAGCAAGAGAATTCTATTAATGGCAGCCGAGCACACGCAGTGACTTCATGGTAGAAAAAGTGAGCTCCTGAGGCTTCTGGGACCAAGAACTAGACTCTGTTTTTTAGACGTCCCAAGGCCAAATCCAGTCACCAGTCAGCCTCGAGTTGTCAGTTCGTAGATGAGGGAGTTGTACAGAGGCAGCAGTGACTAAGAAATGTACTTGCAGGGTTTGGGGGCTGCACGTACCTTCCACTTCCTCTTTAGCTACATTAGTTGGCCAGAGCAACGCAGTACTGGCCATATGCGTACTTCTTTCTGCATTTTTGCCGGATATTCTTATTTCTTTTTCATTCTTTCATTTTTAAAATGGCTGTTCCTCGTCTCAGAGTACACCAAGATTTCACAGTATGTTGTAAAATGCTCTGAAAACAAACAACTGCGAAAAAGGTAGTTTCCTGGAAATGGATTGAAAAAATAATCAGGCAGACACAGCCGCTGAGAACTCTGTTTATTTTGCTGCTTTGACTGACAGAGCAAAAAAGCAAACACTCAGACATTAAAAAAAAGAGAGAGAGCCCAAATAGCAACTGGGGCAGAATTAGGCTGAATAGATGAAAGCTTTTTGACTGCTTTCAACTTCACGGATGGTATTGCAGGGAAGACAAAGTGCGACCCTTTCCCCCTGCCCTGACCCTTAACAGCAAATTGTGGGTAATGCATTACCCAGCCCTCCTTCCACGTACATAGATAGTGCTAGGACTTTTATACTACTGATGTTGAAGGACAGTTTTCAATGTATGATAATATATCCGTTTTTGGGTGTGCAGTGTTTGAACGTGAGAATGGGAGAACGATCACAAGAAAACAAACCTCAGTCAATACTATTGTTGTAAAATATTGTAACCTTGTATAAATGCAACTTTTTTTCCTTTAGCTTTATGGCCTGGGGCAGAATATATTAAAATATATATTCAAAATGTTCAAGAATAAAACAATGGAATGGGGGGAACCCACAAAAAATTGCAGTGAGAGGTTGTGCCATACAATTTTACTGCCTATACAGATATGTATTGCAAATTCATTACATTGTAATATTAAAAAGAACAAACCACTTTGCATCTTGTTTTTCATTTTTTCCACATATAAAATATTTGTTGGAAGTAAGTTCTTGTACTAATTGCCCTTCTCGAAGGCTGAGTGAGGACAGCAGCGAGGTGAACATTCTTAGTACTGCAAACACAAATTAAACAGAGAGAAAGTTTCTGGGGAGGAAATGGATAAA